TCCCGAACGTTGGGAGGATTGCTGAGGTCATTGCGGAACAAGGTTCCTCAGAAGATCGTATGGTTGTATTGTGGGCAGCAGAATTCCTACGTACTCAGAATGGGTATCCAACAGTCGTTTGAAACATTCCTCTGTCTCCGCATCGACGACGGCCTCTGGCAAGCTGTTCCAGTCATTCACTACCCGGGTGGATAGGGCCAGATCGGACCGCACACAGAGTCGCCGCGGTTTCAAAAGTTTCCACCGGTGGCCTCGAGTTGCACAAGTTGTGTTGAGACAAAAGAACGAGTGCAGCTCACTCCCCAGCTCACTTGTTGAATGTGCCGAGTGAATAGCATATCTCCGCGGCAACGACGATAATCCAAAGGGAACAGGTTCAACCGTTGAAGCCGAAGGAAATAAGATAAGTCCCGCAACTCTGGAACGGATTTGGATCCACGCCGTTGAGCCTTCTCCCTCATGTCACGTTCGGACTTTGTGAGAGGATACGCAGCAGGCAATCCGCACTCGAGAACTGAGCGCACATGCGAAGCAAACTGTAGTCTGAAGAGTGCTGGGGTCAGGCGTGAAAAGGCTCTCTGTATAGTGTGAAGTATTCTGTAGGCGGATGCAACCCTCTTCCGAATGTCCTCGATTGATATGAGATCAGGAAACACAATCACCCCGTGATCCCTCTCTTGGTTGACATTTCTGAGCAAGAAACCCCGATATGGTAAGCCCCAAAAGGCTCAGGAGAACCGATTGGAAGGAAAGCGCATTTGTCACGGTTAATGGGCAACTGGCACTTTAGTGACCAATCTTGGAGCAGATCGAGTGTCGCTTGAAGTCTGTCTGCATCTTCCTGAGTGGATATCTCAATCCACAGCTTCAGATCATCCGTGTAGTTTAAGCAGTCAGTCTGCAGTTCGGATGGGAGGTCATTGATGAAGATATCGAAGAGTTCGGGGCCGAGTACAGAACCCTGGGAGACCCAACTGGTTATGAGAACTTGATCAGAAAGCTCTTAGTTAACTTTAACCTGCATGAAGCGACCATCCACGAAATCGGAGACCCAAGAAAGAAAATTGCCAGTGACGCCGATTTCCCGGAGTTTGAAGAGGAACCCCTTATGCGGGACCTTGTCAAAAGCCTTAGTGAAATCAAACACAGCATCCAGACGCTTACCGGCATCTAGAGATCTTGCCCATTTTTCCCTAGCCACCAGCAAATTTGTGGCGCATGAACGCGCCCTTCGGAAACGATGCTGGGCATGAGAGAGGAACTTCAACTCATCGAGACGAAGGCGAAGGGCCCGTTTCAGAATCCGTTCTATGACGATGCACAAAATCGAATGCAGACAGATGGGACGATACCTGGCTGGATCCTGTAGGTTCCTTCTTTTGTAAATAGGTTCAACGATTCCCACCTTTCAAGCAGGTGGAAGCCGCCCGACCTCGAGGTATAGAATGCAGACAAGGCAGAACTCCAAGGATTGAGACGTAACTTCTAGTGCACAACACGTAAGCTAGTTAACTGTTCTCCTCAGGTTCTTGTTCTTCTTCAGTAATTGCGCAGGAATGACGTTCTGTAAGGCGGAGGGAAAAAGTGCCGTCAAAGCAACGATTCAAATTCGACCACGCGCCAACCTAGTTTTTCGCTCATTCGTTACACCCCACTCCTTCTACGTAGGCAACGAACCCGTTGCCACGCCAAAGTCCCCTTGAGCTGGTACTTCAACTTCGGTGGCTACTTCTGTCGGTGGCTCATCGTGGTGCTCTTCATCCGAATGCTCAGGCTCGACTTGGAAAGGTTTAAGCCGATTAAAGTGTACGACCATGTGCTGCCCGACGGCGTTCTTTGGGTCCCTAATCACACAAGTCAGATCAGATATTATTCGGTCTAGCACGTAGGGGCCTGTCCACTCACGATGCAGCTTCGTTGGTATTCCTGATACTGGTGCCTGATGCAAATATACGAGGTCGCCTGTTTTCAATGGGACACCGAAGACCTTCTTGTCGTAGTATTCCTTCTGTCGCCGTTGTGCGTTCGCCAAGTGAATGCGTGCCGCTTCGTGTGTGCATCCAATGGAGTCAAGAAGTTTACTGACGTATTCTGCGACCGACGGGCACATTTGTTGTGATCTCGGTAATCGGACATCCGAGGGCAACCGAACTTCTCTACTCGTCCACATAAACGACGGCGTTTGCCCGGTAAAAGAGTGGACTGTACTGCGATAGACCAATAAGCATTTAGGCAACAACGCGTCCCATTCGTAAATGCTTTGGTCCACGAACGCCTACAAGAGTGACTTCAACAACCGATTCGTGCGTTCAATCTGTTCGTTCCCTTGTGGATGGTAAGCCGTTGTTCGCGTTTTATCAATACCGAGTGCTCTGCACATCACCTGGACCAGTGAGCATTCGAAATATGATCTCCTATCGGAATGCAGTTGCCCAGGCGCTCCCCATTGGCAAACCCAGTGGTTAGTCATGGCTGTTGCCACAGCGAGAGCATCAGCCTGCGCGATTGGCACGGTTTCACACCATTTGGTGAAGTAGTCTACCATGACTTGGATGTAGCGATTCCCTCTCAGCGTTTCCGGTAGCAGACCAACGAGGTTTACTCCAACTATTTTGTTCGGGTAACCCGCTGTCATGGATTGTAATGATGCCCTATGAGCAATAGGCAGATTTTTGAACGTCGCGCATCTTTCGCAAGTTTGGCAGAAGTTGACAATATCTCTTCGTTGATGCGGCCACCAAAATCGTCGACGCGCCGCCGATTCAAGATTATTGATTCCAGTGTCTTCCAGCTGTTGGTGCAGTTCCGACAGCACTTTCGTAACTAGCGCCTGTGGGACTACGATTCTCCTAAGGTATGTGGGGCCGAAATCGAAGACCAACACACCCTCTTCGATGGCGAGTTTATCCCACATCGCCCACAAGCACCGAGCTTCGTAGCTTTTCCCTTCTATTTCTTTCAGAGCTGGTTTATCCCTTCCCGAGCGCCGCTCGTGGTAGATAAGTGATATCTGGGTCCGAAGCCTGTGCTTCTTGCCAACGACCATACTCGGCTTTTTGTAGGTTGACTAGCGCTACGTCTTACGTAATGCAGGAAGGACAGTTTCCATGATCTCGAGAAGGAATCCTCGATAGCGCGTCCGCGTTACCGTGTAGTTTTCCAGGCCGATAGTGACATTCGCACTCATACTCCTGTAGCTGCTCTTGCCATCGAGCAATCTGCCCCTCAGGATCCCTGAAGTTGTGCAGCCACCTGTGTGATTGGTGATCAGTCCGTACTACGAATTTTCTTCCTGAAACGTAGTGCCGATTTTGTTTTATGAAAAATACCAACGCCAACATTTTTTCCTTGTCGTACAGTAATTTCGTTCTTTTGAGGTAAGGCCTCTACTACTGGGTGAAACCCCTCTCTCTATGCCATCCCGCCCTTTTTGTGACAAAACCGCTCCAATGGCCTGATCGCTGGCATCTGTGCCCAGAATAAACTCCCCAGCGTGTGGTGACAAGTCGGGAAAGATTTACATCGAGGCGGTACACAGAGACTCACGCAATCGATCGAAGCCCCTTTGACATTCCACAGTCCAATCGAAACTGCGACTATTCTGCAACAGCGCGTTTGAAGGGGCTGCGACTTCCGAGAACCCTTTGATGAATCGACGGTAGTACGACGCCAGTCCTAAGAAATTGCGACATTAGTGGGGATTAGCCACGCCTTTACCTGATCTGTCTTGCGAGGATCTGTCCGGATGCCTGCCCTAGAGATGATGTGTCCGTGATAGGTAACTTCTTCTGGTAGTAAGCGACATTTTTTTGTTGGAGCTTCAAACCTACATTGATTAGACACGTTAGCACTTCAACTAGATGGCTTAGATGTTCATTCTTCGTTCTCCCATGTACGATGACATCGTCCAGATAGACGAGACACTTGCGAGGAATTAAATCGTGAAGCGCTTCCTGCATAAGGCGCTGAAACGTTGCAGGAGTGTTTGATAGGCCGAAAGGCATTGTTTGAAACTCATAAAGGCCTGAAGGGACTACAAAGGCTGTCTTCGCTCGGTCACTCTTCAACCTCCACTTGCCAATAACCAGACACCAAATCTAGCGTGTTAAAACAAGCTGACCCTCCGAACGCGTCGAAAAGGTCATCAATTCTGGGCAGTGGATATGCATCCTTCCGCGTGACTTCATTTAGCCGCCTATGATCAACACAGCCTAAAAATACCGTCTTTCTTCTTTACCAAGACGACTGGGGCTGCCCATGGAGAAGTAGATGGTCGTATAACTTTCTTTTTCAACATCTGGCCTATGGGCTTTTGCAGCTCGCCTTGCCATTGCACTGGGATCCGTCTTGGGTAATCTTAATCGGGGTCGTATTCCCAGTGTCGATTAGGTGTTTCACGACGTTGATGCGGCCCAGGTCTCCAGTCTGCCATGCGAATGCATCAGTGGGCTAGCAGCACTTCTTTAAGCTTTTCCAACCTTCGCTCGTCCGTTGGCAATTCGAGTGAGCGGATAAACGTGTCTACCCGGTGTTCCTCGTCAGAGGAGCTCCCAAAAATCGTCAACGTTTCAAGACTGTCGGTCTGGCCTTGTCTGAGTAATACAACGCAACGTCAGTGATCAACTGGCATTTGTCTAAATCTAAGTGACATCTCAGACGCCTCAATAAATTCATTCCAATGATTACAGCAAATGGAAGGTTATCAGCGACAATAAACTCGTGGCGGAACTTCTCATTAACAATGTGCACCTGAGCAGTGATAGATTCCCGAACAGACAGGGGTTCCCCATTAGCAGCGGTCAGACGATAGCAGCATGGCGTCCACACACATAATCTGTCAGCGACTTAGTTGTATTAGCTCGGACTAAGCTCCTGCATTCCCCTGTCAATTAGACCTACCAGTGGCACTCCTGCTACGATTAGCTCTACCGTTAATGAGAACGCGGGCGTTGTACAAGTGACAGCGGGAATGAAAACTGACTTCACACGGTCGCACTCACCTTGAAGATTTCGGCTGCCATGGATTGGCGGGAAATTTCCTCTTCTGGGTGGAGGAGGACGGGGCCTTCGGAAGTCCGATTGTACTGGAGGTCGCGAGTAACCCCATCGATACGGAACGCGATTCCAATTCCTCCGTTCTGGTGGCTTGAAGCTAGCGTGACTGCATCCCTTCAGCGCACAACATGGTTCCACAGGGCCCATGGACGCGTCCACTTGTTCCAATTGGTCTGACACTTCTAAGGCTGCCTGAAGACAAGTAGGGCGTCGTAAACGAAACTCCCTTTTACCTAGGGAGTTTGGATGCCTTCGAGCAACTGCTTTAAAATGCGCTTGTCCTGTTGGTCTTGCATTTCGTCTGCATAGGCAGTTACTGCCATCCTCCGCAGTTCGCGAGCGTAGGTTTCTACGTTTTTCCACTGCCTTTGATACCGGGCATGAAAAGCTTTGCGCGATTCGTCGGGCAGGCCGGGCCGGTCCAGTAAGCGCCGAAGGGAGACGAATGTTTCCTGTGACCAGTTCTTCCAGAAGTTTAGTATCCGTCACAATATCTACCCTGCCAGGATATCAGAGCGATGCAGAAATCAAAGAGTCAGTGTGAAGACGAAAGTCAAAAGCTTGTTGCTGATCCCGGAGTGAGAATTTCGGTCGCCTTGGAATTACTGTCAGACGCTTTACAGAAGATGACTACGAATCCGCTACCAACCGCGTCCACACCCCCGCTACCGCCCCCGAAAGATTTTCACCGGGCATGTCTTACTCAAGGTGGGAAAAACAAGTACAGCTGTACCTAAAGAACTTTCCTGTTTTGCAACACGGTACCGGTAATGGGACTGCTCTCAGGAGAGGCGTTCAATACCCGCCTCTCCTGAGAGCAGTCCCATTACCGGTACCGTGTTGCAAAACAGGAAAGTTCTTTAGGTACAGCTGTACTTGTTTTTCCCACCTTGAGTAAGACATGCCCGGTGCAAATCTTTCGGTGGGCGGTAGCGGGGGTGTGGACGCGGTTGGTAGCGGATTCGTAGTCATCTTCTGTAAAGCGTCTGACAGTAATTCCAAGGCGACCGAAATTCTCACTCCGGGATCAGCAACAAGCTTTTGACTTTCGTCTTCACACTGACTGATTTCTGCATCGCTCTGGTATCCTGGCAGGGTCGCCAATCATAGAATGCAGACAAGGCAGAACTCCAAGGATTGAGACGTAACTTCTAGTGCACAACACGTAGGCTAGTTAACTGTTCTCCTCAGGTTCTTGTTCTTCTGCAGTAATTGCGCAGGAATGACGTTCTGAAAGGCGGAGGGAAAAGGTGCCGCCAAAGCAACGATTCAAATTCGACCACGTACCAACCTAGTTTTTCGCTCGTTCCTTACAAAGGTAACGAAGGAAGATTTGACAGACAGGAGCGGCAATGTGATTGTGGTGCACAAGGTTGTTTGTTGGTAAATGAAAACGTTGGGATTTCGGACACGTGTATGTTTATAATTATGTTAACGCCGTTGTTAATTTGTTAAGAGGTGGATTGTATATCAGTATAGTGAACAGTTTATGTGCATCACGGTGATTTAGATGAACTGGAACGATAGGAAAATCCATTGAGTGTTCCTTCTTGAGCAAATCGTTGAGTCAGAAAATGATAAGGTGCTAGTTCTTGATAGATCTAAAACGAAACACCCGAAACACACACTGATCAACCAATTACTGCCCACGTTCCCTGCACTAGCAGTCTCCGCTGTGTAGGTTACGTGAAGTAAGAAAGAAGTAGAAAGTAAATGGAAGATAAAGGGGAATGAAAGTCATTTAAATGAAGGATAACACCAAAGAGTGAAGAGAATGACAGAATAAAAACTAAAAGTTTGAAGATGGATATGGTCAGGAGAAGGGAAAGGTTTCGTGTTGCCACCCAATAGCGTCTAACTGATGCTCGAAACCCTTAACGGTAAATTCACTGACTTCACTTTCTGGAAGCGACTTCTAGCGCTCGATAACTCTACGCAATAACCGAGTTTCCGCCCTGATCCGGTCAGAACGCGGCAACCTAGCCGAGCTAAATAGCCAGCTGAAGTCCGGTCCAACTATCCCTGTTAAAATGCGGTAAGTAAGGATTAGCTCTCCTCGAAGCCGTCGGTAGTGCATTGAATATATATACACAAGTTAAGTAGACGCTCGGGGTACGATTGCCCCCGTAACCCCTCGACCAATTTGGTACCTATTCTCAAAACCCTCTCAAGCTCCATTTTGTCCCGAACAAGGTAGGGTGGGCAAGACTGGACGAACCATACCAGATGGAGCCGAAGGAAAGCTGAGAACAGCTTCACAAATATGTCGGGCAGTTAAGACCCCGAAAGAACGGCGTATTAACCACAACATACTGAAACCCCTACTAATGGCCTTCTTCCAGTTGTCACCAGAATGCAAAGACGAAGAATGAACGACACCGAGGTCTACCTGGTTGTAGACAAGGGGGAGTTCGACCCCACCGAGTACGTAGCTTGAAGGCGGGAAAGTTGCTCCTACACGAAGGACGGAACACTTAGCCTGATTTATGGGCAGTAACCACAAAGTAGACCAGTCCCAGAGTCTGTTCAGGGCATGTTGCATGGCCTCAGAACCCCGAGGGGCATTTACAAAATTCCACAGCTTAACGTCATTAGCAAACAATAGGGATGATACCCTAAGCTCTCCAGGGAGATCGTTTACGCAGATGGAGAACAGCAGCGGTCCAAGGACCGATGCCTGCCTAAAGGATAAGCTGCGACCCACACGTACACACTGCTCTCTTCCCTGCAAGAACGCAGATACCCAGTGAAGGGCGCTGCCAGATACGCCGTAGGACCTCAGCTTTGTGATAGCCTCAAATGGGGTACCTTATCAAATGCTTTCGAGAAGTCTACGAAAAGCACATCCACCAGGTGGCCATTGTTCAATGCCTCGGCCCAAGCTTCACGAGCAACCAACAAATTCGTCAGATATGAAAATCCACACCGGAATCCGTGTTGTGCATTACTGAGTAGATTAAATCTATCCAGGTGACCTTGTGGTGGAAAGACCAAACGGAAAGGGTTTAAGTACATAAAAGAACTCTGTCTATAAATAAGAATGCTGTAGCTGACCTTAGGTAAAGCACAATCTTCGGTAGGCCGTCAGTTAGTCGCACAATCTGGTCGGAAGATGAAACTTAGTCGGCACAATAAATCGACGCGTTAGATCCGATGATCGATGGACGAAGCTAGCAGACCGACGACGACCAACAGCACAACACGCGTAGCCGAAAACAGAAGGCGAATCGAAACCCGAAAAAGTGTTTTATCGGTTGTTGGTCAATTAAAACAAAACTGTACAATAACAATGGAAATGAGAATAGAAAAGTACAATTGGGAAGAGATATGTACAAGCGCTACAGAACTCCCTCCTAGAGCGTGAGTCACTGAGACAAAAGCTCGATACTTGTGTATCATATACCGTAGTCTGGAAGGGAGAAGAACTGTACATCCGAAGCGTGTTCGGTGATGCAATTTCCAGTGTGTCGTGAGATGCTTGGGGTACAGAAGAGGGAACAGAGGTGTCACACATGGGCTGAGTAGGTGGCGTACTAGGGAAGGTAGGCTGGTCGGTGACAGGAATGTCTGTGGGTTTCGGTATGGGTCGCGTCTCGATGTACGCCGGCTTCAAGCGGTCAATAGTCACAGTATCCTGAGAACCATTTCTATCCAGCACGAAGTACTTCTCTTTCCGGGCAACAACCTTGAAGGGGTCCTCGTAAGGCGGTGTCAGAGGTTTACGGACGGAATCGACGCACACGAGAACGAAGGAGCAAGTGTGCGAATCTGGGTGTACCTGTTGGCTCCGAGGATTGATTCGAGGTGGCGTTGGACGAATTGAACTGAAGTATTTCCTCAGGCGTGTGACGTACGAGGTCGGAACAAATTCTCCAGTAACCACTGAGTCTAGCACCATTTCTGAGATTAGTGCCAAAGACCAACTCAGCGAGACAACAGCCAATGTCTTCTTTAAAGTGTGTTACGAATACCAAGCAAGATAATCGGTAGACGTTCTGACCATTGTGAGTTCGACTGTGAAGCAGTAATAGCGGCTTTAAGTTGACGATGGAAACGTTCAACGATGCCATTAGCAGCTCGATGTTAGGCGGTTGTCCGTAGGTGGGAACAACCGAGCAAGAGGTTCATGTCACGAAACGAGGCCGAATTGAATTGGGACCCTCTATCGGTAGCAATAGTGGCTGGCGTGCCAAAGACGGAAATCCGATTCTCAATGAATGTTCGCGTCACAGTTTCTGTAGAAGTATCACGTAAAGACACGGCAAGTGTCCAACGAGTATAATGATCAACACACGTCAATAAACAGACAAAACCGTTGGATGGAGGTAAGGGTCCAACTATGTCAAGATGAACATGTTTGAAACGAGCGTCGGGAAGAGCAAACGTGCCGGGGACGGTAATCGTGTGACGGTGGATCTTGCTGGTTTGGCAAATGATACAGTGTTTGGCCCACTGCTGGATCTCGGAGCGCATGTTGTGCCAAATGAAGCGATCAGTAATTAGCTTGACGGTGGCTCGGATGCTCGGGTGAGATTCCATGCAGGTGGTTCAAGTTCAAGAGGGACTGGAACGATAGGATTATCCCGTGAGTGTTCCTTCTTCGGCGGGTCGTTGAACCAGGAGTTGGCGAACTTTGAAATACTGATGGACCTAAAACAAAGACCGCATCACACCCTGTCCAATCAATTAATACCCACGTATCCTGCTCTAGCAGTCCTTGCTGAGTCGGTTACGTGAAGTAAGAAAGAGAGAAAAGTAAACGCAGAAGGCAAAAGAGAAAGTGGAAAGAGCTAAGCAAGTGGAATACCAAGATATTTGAGCCAATAAAAAAAGAACTGAAAAGTGAAGGTGAGTCAGCTAGGAAAAAGGAAAAGTTTGCTGTTGCCACCCAAGAGCACCGAGCTGGCGCGCAAAAACCTTAACCGTAGGTTCACTAACCGCATGATCTGAAAGCGAATTCCAGCGATCTATAACGGCGCGACAGACGAGTTTCCGTCCTAATCCTATCAAACCTTGGTTTATGCAGTTTCAGTGGATGACCGCGGAGATTAGGTAACGTAGCGGGACTAAACAGCTCTGACAAGTCCGGGCCCATCTTACCCGTCAAAATACGATAAGTGAGAACCAGGTCCCCTCTTATCCTTCGGTAGTGCATGGAGTACATACCCAAACTGAGCAAGAGTTCAGGATACGTCTGTCCCCGTAGACCCTGCACTAACCGAGTGCCTACTCGTAACACCCTCTCCAAGTCCATTTTGTCTCGGTTAAGACATGGTGGATAAGCCTGAATACAATATTCCAGGTGGAATCGGATGAATGCCGAAAAGAGCTTCACAAACAACTTGGCCGTTAAGATTCCGAAAGAGCGGCGGATAAACCACATCATACGAAACCCTCGACAAGCAGCCTTCTTCCAGTTGTCTCCAGAATGAAGTGCTGATGAGTGTACGACTCCTAAATCAACCTGCTGAGTGACAACAGGGAGTTCACCACCGCCGAGGACATATCGGGTGGGAGGATTTGCAGCTCCGATTCGGAGAACAGAGCACTTGGCCCTATTTATGGGCATCAACCATAAGATAGACCATTCCCAGAGTCTATCCAAGGCACGCTGAATTGCCTCAGGACCCCCCGGGATATCCACAATATTCCAGAGCTTAAGGTCGTCAGCAAACATTAATGATGACACCCCTAGCTCTCCCGGCAAGTCATTTACATAGATCGCGAACAACAATGGCCCCAATACCGAGCCCTGCGGAACGCCACTAAGGACAGCTTGCCTGAACCAAAGGCTACGCCCCACCGGTACGCACTGTTCCCTCCCCTCAAGGAAGGCAGACACCCATTGAAGGGCGCGACCAGATATCCCGTAAGATCTCAACTTTAGTGAGAGCCGAAGATGTGGAATAGTGTCAAAAGCCTTCGAAAAATCTACGAATAGCACGTCTACAGCGTGGCCACTGTCTACAGCTTCGGCCCAGCTTTCACGAGCTACAAGTAGATTAGTCTGACATGAAAATCCTTTGCGGAATCCATGTTGCGCAACACTGAGAAGGTTACATCTATTCAGGTGGTTCTTCACTGAATCCCTTATCAGCTTTTCAAACAACGACTACTACGCTTGTCAAACTGACGGGCCGGTAGTTTGCGGGCAGTGCGCTGTCACCGCCCTTAAAAATCGGACAGATGATTGCCACATTCCATTCCGAAGGTAGGCTACAGCTGTCCAGCGATATTGAAGACAAGCGCGTGAGAGGACCACTCAGCTCAGTGGCCAATTCATGCAACAGCTTCGGATGAATTGAATCAGGACCGGAAGCATTAGAGGGATTAGTTCCTTGCAGTAGTACGAAGACCTGAGTCTCCGTTATGCTAAATTCAGCTAAGCAAGAATCCTCTGGAACTCCTGAAACCAATTCAACCTGTGGTAAAGAGGTCTTCCGAGCAAACACCCCCAGTATACTGATCACTCAGTATACAAGCCTTGTCATAGTCAGTTTGCGCACGGGTCCCGTCTGCTCGCAATAAAGCTGGTATAGACAGTTTTGCCCCACTGCGTCTTTTAACGTAAGCAAAAAGCTTTTTGGGATTAGCTGCGGCCGTGTCCGCTAAACTCTGCTCGTATTGGAGACGAGCAGTTCTGAGGTGTTGCTTACATTTATTTCTATTCTCTCGATAACTACCATAGGTGCTAACTAATGGAGCTGCTTGGTAGGTTCGTCAGCATCTAGACCGTTTCTTGAGTAGGTACTTGCCCGTGGTATCTATCCATGGAGGTTGTGCCCTTAAACCCTCTCTTCCTAATGAGTGGAATATATGGAGTGGAAACCTCCGTAAGGCATGCCTTAAATTTATCCTAGGTTAACTGGACAGAGTCAGCCATCGAGATCTCACAGTTCAGAACTGAAGCCTTAGTTCACATTGCACTAAAGTCCGCCCGCCAAATATTCGGAAGTAATTCAACAGCGGTCTCTTGGTGCCTTGAAAGAGCACATCGAAAGGATATGCATGCGTGATCGCTGGACCCTAGAGGTGCACCGTATGAAACGTCAGTCAGGAAGTCCAGGGACTTAGCGAAAACCAAATCCAAAGTAGATGGTATTTGGTTGTCCATATACCTAGCGGGAAAGTCAACGAACTGGTGCAAAGGCACTTGGATAGTCAGTTCAAGGAAGTCTGCACCGAATGTTCCTGATGCCGAATTGCAAGAAACATCGGCCCAACAGACTTCCGGGAGGTTGAAATCCCCTAGAACTAAACACGTATTCGCAGACTGAGTGCGAAGAAAGTCAAGTATCCCCATGGAAGAATTTCCAGTACTTCTGTATATCACTATAACTGTAAACTGGGTAGAGGAAGTGCACAAAACAGCCGATGGGGCCTCAACAGTCTGATCCGACGATTGGAGTGTGCAGGTCCTCCACACATCTAAGTTACAGCTCACATACAGTACAACGCCTCCGCCTTGGCGACCAACGGAGCGATCAGTTCTAAGCAGCGCGTAGCCAGGCAAATATACCTCACCGTCCGTGATATCCGGAGACAACCACGTTTCAGTGAAAGCAAGCATGTCTGAACAAGAGTTGTCTACAAGTAGACCCAACTCGTGCATGTTGTTCCTTAGGCTACGCACGTTGCTAAGTACTACCTCAAGGAAGTCGGCACGACCATCCCTGGGTCGTGCGCCATCAGGATTGGTTCTGATAGGGCGGAAAATAACTTCCGGCTGACCACTTGAAAACCCACCAGACGGAGGCCTTGCTCACCAGCCGCCCGTCTAGTTTTGAGTTCTTCGATAGCCTCCTTTAACTTCAATCTATCTGCTAGTGGGAGGTCTGGCTGAACGCTGACACCACTACCCTTAAGTTTGAACGCAAACCGCAGTAATGGTTTGCGTTCCTCCGGGGCAGAAAGGACCACGCAAAGTAGTCGGGGTCGTGGATTTGGCGTATCGATAAGGATGTTTCCCAATCTGGTCAGCTTTCTGACAGTGACACCAGGGAAGCCAGGTGGAAGCAGCTTGCTGACACACAGTTTCAGCCACTTAATGTCATCCAAGATGCGTTCCCTTGGGAGAGCGACCGCAGATTCAGTAACGTTACGGAAAATAACGCTACTATCCGTGAAAGAGTCGGCACGACGGGGAGTGTTTACCCCACGTGCCTTGGAGTCGACACCTATACCAGCTATTTTCACCACTGGCGGTGGGACTGTCGCTGTCTTCACAAACGACGCCGAAGCAACGGTAGCGTAGGTTTTCCGCTCTATTGCCGACGTCTTACTAATTCCTGTGTCTTCAAGCCCCTTCGAAGTTTTACAAGCAGATCTAGTCCGCTTCTTCTTTTGGCTCACTGGAGCAGGGGCCGTTGACTTTGTATGGCATTGAGCAGTTACCAGCACGTCAGAACGGGCTAGTTCACTGGCGGCCGAGACAGTCAGCATCTTTGGAAAGTTCTGTGTACAATCGTCAGACGACTTTACGACTGTCAAAGACGGCATCTTTTTCGATGCTGTGGCAACTAATTCTCTGGGTTTAGCAGAGGGCTTTTGGTATTTCCGCACCCTATTTTTCTTCACTTTGATCGGCTCATGAGGACAACCAGCAATGCTACCTGGATTGGCCAGTAGGATGTGCGACTTTATGACCGAGTGACAGAAGCCAGTGGATGGATCGTCAGCAATGGTGCCGGCGATTGCTGTGTCTTTAAACGAAATATTTAGGGATTTTAAAATTAAATCCATTTTCGTATCGAGCGAAGCAATAGAGGAGAGTTTAGCTATCGCCAACTCAACATCTGCCAACCTTGAAGCCAACGCTGAAAGTTTAGCACCGGTGACAGCCAGGCGCGTCGATCTTTGAGCGCAGCATTCAGCACAGCTGAAAAGAAAGTGGACGCTTGATGATAGAATTTTGTACTGGTCAGCTTGTATGCCGGTACAGCGTTCGTGATACCAGCGGCAGCAGACTTCACACTGCATACCGACAGATACATCTGTTACTGGCTCTGAACAGTTAACCTTAGGTCAGGTCAGGTCAGGTCAGACGGACGATAGAGGCTTCCGCCTAACGAGCGTCCAGTTCTTGTGCCGGTAAGTGAAGCAGCCCCGGGCACTTCGACGTTGGATTGTCTCTTCTTGCTTCTGCAATGGAATGAAGCAAGAACAAGAGCAATCTTTGCACTGTCATATGCCAACATCAAAATACACTACATATTTCAGTACAACTAGAATATCTCCGGAAAAAGGATAGACCAACAATCGTCTAAGCCCCATTTGAAGGCTTGTACGGTCTCAGACTCCACTAAACCAGAAGGAAGTTTATTCCAGAACTTAACTACTCGGTTCGTAAAAAACGTTGCCCTGATGTCCAAACGAGCTCTGTGATGTTTGAGCTTCAGGCGATGC